ACTCTTCATCAGGAAGATTTTAAGAGATCTTGTACTTCAGCTTGTTCTACTTCTTTAGAAGCATGTTCTATTTTTGTACATGTTCTGTCTTTTTTTTGTCTACTTTTTTGTTTTTAATTATTCCATTCTGTAGATTTCTGCAGACACAGAGCTGTAAAACGCATAGAAATACATGCGTTACGTTTTCAGCCATTATGTTGGTTGACGTCAGTTTTAACTATGCCGCTGAGAACTTTTTGTGAAGGTTGTTTGATTAAAACAGCCAGAATATTTTCACAGTCAGTTGGGTAACCTCACCCTAGAAAAGACATTTGTTGTTCGTACGCCGTTTTGGATCTCAGTAACTGCAGTTGATTATTGGTGAGAGAAGTCCAGCTTATCAATTGAAAGCTCAAGTCTATATGGCTCTACTTAGACAGTCTAACTCATTTGTTGCTGCCAAGGGAGAAATCAGAACCTTCGAGATACTCTGTCTTGTGTAAAGCTGAAAGGGGCCCATGCGTGTTGTGATTGTGCTGTAAATGCTGGGAAGAGAAAGTAACCATGGCCTCAGAGAGTGGGCTTTCCATGAGAAATCTCTATGAAGGTTACTGCTGACCAGTAGCAGGTTCTGCTGGTTGCCCTCGCCTGCTGCCCATCAGTGGACAGCTTGGGCAACTGTGGCCAGGCAACTGGTAGCAACCTGTGCTGCTGTGGGGACTTGAAGTCTATAGGAACGACACAAAATCTGCTCCTTTGGTGTTTGTCTCTGGACGTGTATGTGGTTGGTTATAGGTGAATGCTCCATGACCACTTTTGCACTTCTGAAGCATATATGACATACTGTAAGTAGGAGATCATTCACTTGTACAGGCATCTCACTTGTACAGATTTTCCGTCTTTTTGAAGGGTCTACAATTTGTACTTTAAGGTTTCTCAGCCCATTTCTCAGCATACGGCCAAAGGGTCTATGAGGCTACAAAATGGGTGTGAAAACACTTCACATTTCATGGAAGTGTTGTGTGGTTTGAATGGTTAATGCATGCATATGCATATCCAGAGCTTCACATCAAAAGCACTTGCATAGTGTTTGTGCATAAATACAGGTTCCTACGACTCTACAGACAGGTAGTATCACATTATTTCTTATTCCCCTGCTTCCCTGTGGGTTTTGTAGGTAACAGTAGTAAAAAAATAAAGTGATTTTCTATTTTTATAGGGGCTCTGCAGTTAACACTCGTTGCCCGTCAGACTCCTTTTCATGTTTGGCAGCTCTACAGAACTTGGGTTGTGTGACTAAATTGTGCTCCTATGAAGTGTGCCATTAAAACAGGAATGGTTGTTCAACAGCTTAAGGATTCCTAGGATCAGGTACTTAAGGTGAACTTAAAAAAACCACTGGAACACCTACTCACATAGGTTAAAAGAAACCAACGATCTCCCACTCCTCTGAGCTTCCCCTCTCATCCTGTGTAATAGGTGTATTAAAAGTCAGTCTGTTGTTCAGCCTACACTTTAAAGTGATGTAAGTGGCTGCAGCCAGCAAAAGAAGAGACTCCCAGATTAATGTATTTACTATAAACAATTCAGTTTTTACAAGTTATTCACAGTTATCTTGCTTTTATTTGAGCAAGAGTGATACTGACCTTCTGTCTTCCAGAAGAGAACAACTGATCTAATTGCAATATTTTCTTAATCGATTACTATATTGTGCCCTTGTTTCTACTGTTGAGGCAAGATGTTGAGAAACATTTTAGCCGAAACAATGTAAATATATATTGAGGATATACATGCATGCGCATGCACATACACACATAAATGTACAAGATTTCAAATACTCAAGTATAAGTGACTGTTTCACAGACTTGGTGCCCTAACCATTTTTAGTAGCTGTAATTTTAGCCTTCTGATCTCACCTGTTAAACATTAAAGTATTTTTAATTTAAACTCTTGTTATTACCCTGGGAGTTGATAATTGGGGTTTCTGAAGGGCTCGTCCCAGCAAACACATCAAACTCCTTTCCTCATTTGGAAGGCGATTCTTCTATCTGTTTTCCAGATTCACAATATAAATTAGAATGAGTACTGTTACTGGTGCATGATGGAAAATTTCATGCTTAGGAAATTAGGCTAATAAAGACCAAACATCGCTAACAAAAATTTAGTGAAGGAAAATAAGGAAATGCCTTTCGACCTGTGTATTGTGCTACAGCATCTCTCTCTGTACGGGCAGCACGGTTGTAGATACGCAGATTTTAATCTGGTCAAGATGAAACTAAAATACCATGGAGTAGAAGATTTGGCGTGCAACTGTTTGTGCTTCCATAGTAAGCACAGAAGTCAGCAGATTATAGGCGAAGGGTGCGACTGACGAAAGAAAACACGCCGAGGTATTTCATCAACTGTATCAGAGAGAATGAATGCTGTGCACTGCCACGGGGCCTTTCAGGAAGGGAAAACCGGAGTGCGATGACTAAAGAGCTAATCTGATTGCAGGTAATTCATTACTGTGATTAGTGCTATACGGTCTTTCCTCAGGGAAGAGGAAAGAAATGGATGAGACTTCCTCTTGCTGCTCCCCTTTGCTTGGGCCTGGCATCTGATGTCTCTGCCTTGTGATGAGTCGTGTTGCTCATCGCTAGCTCCCGAGCCAGCTCCGGAGCAAGAGAGCAAAACGTGACTGGTTGTAAAGTCAGGGAACGGGGCGGGGAGCCCGGTCAGACCTTGGTGCCCATCCCCTGGTAAATATTAAAGTATATGGTAAATATTAAAGTATGTACGTGTATGGAGTGAAGCACATCTCATCCAATGGTTCGTCCCATTGCTGGATGGGGGACCTGGGTCCATTGCACCCACAGCTGGCGCTGGTTCCAGCTCGTGGGCTATGGGTGTGCAGTACCGCTGCGCTAGAGCTTACGCGTAGATGTTGACGGATTTTGGTCCCTGTGGGGTTTCTCCTCTGGGGCCTGTTTTGCCTTTTTGCCTGAGTGCCCCGGCGGCACTGGGGAGAAGCTCTTCTTTCCCAGGGTCTACCAGCTCCTTCCTGGCTCAAGCAGAGCCTCTCTATAGCCTTAATAAAATCAACAGCTGTCTTGACACCAGTCGCAGTAAATACTGTTTGGTTTTCCCTACTGATTTCAGATGCTTACATGTATAATGTTACGTTTATATGTTTTAATAATCGCTGATGCCACCATTGGTTTGTCTTTTTGTGTCTTGTATGTCTTCAGAGTAAGCCCTCTTTTTCAAGGTGTCAAGATAAAAAAGCATTGACTTTAAGCAAAATGTTCCAGACTTAATTGGACATAATATCAGCAAATTGTGCAGATTTTCAAGTCTATCAAAATAAATGGGAGAAAGTGTAAAACTTGGACATTTATCCAGTAAGATGCGACGTTTTCTCTGTTAAAACTGGCAAATGTTGATAACTTGACAGAAACCTGAATTTAACTTCTCCATCCTACTTCTCTGAGAATTTAATCACATCTAGCTTGTTTTGGGGGATTGATAGTTATGACAAGTGTATCAAATTTCATGCCAGTGGTATCTTTTATGTTTCCTGAGAGAGGAGAAAATAGCAATTTTACCTTGTGCCCAGGAGTCACAGAGAGCAGAAATTGTAGGTACCTGCCACATTGAGTTTTTAAATAAAAATGAATTGCAGAGCAGCATATAGCAGAGATGAGGAAGGGAAGGGAGGAGGGAAAGGAGTGAGGCATAAACTGTAGAGGATCATTTATTGCATTTCCTTGGCTTTTAATCTAATGCAGCATTGCAGAGTTATGAATATGTATGATCTGCATTTTGTTCACATGTGAAGTGTCTGTGAAGATGTCTGCCTGTTTTTTTCAGGGGATTTATAGCCTTTTGTTTTTCTATCCAGAATTAAGGAACTTTGCAGAGATGATCTTTATATATGTATCTTGTGTAATTCCTGTTTCCATGCTGTAAATACTGAAAAGCAGAGGGTTTTTACTGGTTCCCCTTAAGTCTTATTTAGAGGAAAGTTAATCTTGTTGTAAATACTTACAGCTTTACTTTGAAACTTACTTCTAAAAGAAAAAACAAAGCCAAACAGTTTTGAAAGTTGAAATACAAGTTTTAAACTAGCAAAGCCACATCTATTTAGGAGAACTGTAGTCATGAGAGATACATAGCATCCAGTTCTGTGTTGCTCGGGGCAGATGTTGGGAGTACCAGAACTGGAAGACGGATCCATAGATTTCTACATATATTTTGCTGCCTTTATGTGGAGGGGGGGAAAAAGAAAAAAGCCCGCAAAAAACAAAGCCAAACAAACCAACAACAAACCAAACAAAGCCAACCTTTTCTAAATTATTATTAGGAGTATACACTGAAATGAATGATTTGGTATTACACTAGGATATCAGGCTTATGTTGAAGGCAGTAGAAGGGAGATGTGAGTCTGGTTTTACGTGTGATGCAAACTTAGGTGTGATTTTGGCAAGTCACAGTGGGACAAATTCTGTAAAAGAACCTAACTTTTGTGAAGACACCACAGTATGGGACCATATCTTTCAGGGAGCTCCGCACCCCATATGTTTATTTGGAAGATCTGGCACTGATTGTTGGTATCAAGTGCTTGAAAATCCGTCTTTGAACTCCAAAAATCTGATCCACGCCTCATTCCAAACAACGGAAATAGTTGCTCTGACTTGAGGTGATCAAGCCTGTGCTCTTTATCTCTGACCCTCACAGTAAATGAATTAACCACATTTCCTTTTTCCTACCTTATGTCTTATTTGCTTGGGTTTCATGGTTTCTTCTACATGTGTGCTTCTTACAGAAATGAGAAACTACCATAAACTGAATAACAATAATAATAAAGTCAAAGTCTGTTGCAGGGGAATTGGAGCTTTGGAGAACAGGCTAGGTCTGGGAGTAAATGCCACTTCTTGAATGTTTTGGGTTCCATATGAATTCATCCAAATAATGGCATAATAAAAAAGAACAGCACCAGGCAGCCTACGTCAGGACCCCACGCCTGGTTCCCTCACGACATGCTTGCGAGGCGTGCTGCAGTCTCTGGTCTACCCCCCCACTCGGACACCCGCGGTACCTCACCGCAGGTCACTCCTGCGGATCAGGGCTCGGGACTGCTGACTATTCGCCAGTCCCATGAATTAAGTGGTAGGTCTGAGAGTCGCGTCTTAGGCTAATCTAAATCAGTGTGTCATCAGGTGAAAGCAAGGGAGCAGTGGTGGTTTATGCCACCTTTGGAGCTGGTTTGGTGCTTACCAGCTTGTTTTGTTTAATGCTTTTTATTATAACATTGCTTTGTGTGACGTTACTTTACATTTTAACACAGCTTCATTCAGTGGAAGAGAAGCAGCATTAGTAACTTCTGCTCAACGTGGTGATGCACACAGATCTTGGGTATTTCATTCTGTCACTGCTGGCTTTCTACTTACTGCGTCGGCAATGCTGGTGTGACAGGAAAATGTGCTAATTAAGTCCTCTTTTTTTGTTATTTCAGGAAACCTACCGTATGAATATAAAATAGTGATTGCTGGGAATCATGAACTGACATTTGATAAGGAATTCATGGCAGACCTTGTTAAACAAGATTACTACCGCTTTCCCTCTGTGTCCAAATTGAAACCAGAGGACTTTGACAATGTTCAGTCGCTCCTGACAAATAGTATTTACTTACAAGATTCAGAGATAACAGTTAAAGGATTCCGAATATATGGTGCCCCGTGGTAAGTCTCAATTTAAACTTTC